TTTAGTTAGTTAACATGATGCGTTATTTTGTTTTAAACTAAAAAAATGCTATTTTTTTTGTTTTTAAAGTTCAGAATTAGATCACATCATACAAAAAGATCAGTCCAATCAAATTAAATAAAAATTGAATGAAAAAACTGATTGACTGAAAATAAATAGACCTATATTAAATTCGTATAAAAAAGATGATTATCTATTTTTAAATGGATTTGCAGCCACAGGAATAAATTTGTAAGGGTTACAATAAAAAAATTTTTAAGTATATCTTCTGTTTATAAATTATTAAAGTAATATAAAAAGTAAGATAATTCAGAACTTAGCTAATAAGGGTTCTTTGAAATATATTATTTTATATGTATATATATAGAGAGAGAAAAAGAGATTGAAATTTGAAATTATATATTAGTATATACTTATTTATTTATATTTATATAAGTATAAGAGAAGGTAAGATTATTTTTAATAAATAATAAATAATGTACAACTATTCTTTTATATTTTAACTTTATTGTATAATTTGATTAAATTTTTAAATCAAATAACTAATAATAAATTGTAATTTAGATAAATATCTAAATGTATTTTATATTAATATATTTTTCACTTATTAAAGATAATATAATCTTTTTTTTACATAATATTTTCATATAAATATTAATGATTTCAGGCTTAAAAAATTAAAATTTTTTAAATTTTTTATTAAAATGATAGTCATGTAATTTGGTATTAGCCAATCAGATTAGTGTATAATTAGCCAATCACAGAAAAAGCTCTTTATGTTTATTAATAGTAAATATAATAATTAGAAATAATATAAGAAATAGACTTTATTTAATAATATAATTTACCATAACTGCTTACAATTAATGAATTTTTTATTCTTATTATATAAAATATAAACTAGAGTTTGCTATTTGCGATCATAGAAAGACTTTTACACGATTAGTAGATCATATTTAATTGTTAGATTATAGGAAGACTTACACAAATTTTATAATTGATATTATAAATATTTATATATGCTATGTGATATCATAATATGATAATGTAATTAACTATTATATATATGTGTTATATTTAAACTACTTAAATAATGTATATTAAATCAATAGTATTAATAATAAAAATGCATAGTTTAATTAATTAATTTTATATAATAAAAAATAAAAATAAAATAAAAATAAATAAAATTTATTTGTAACATATTTTATTTATAATACTCTTTTTTATTTTTCTTAATAATAAATTATTTTATTAAATATTTTATAAATAAGATTTTTAAATGCAAAATATAATTAAAAAACTTTTACTTAATATATTAAAGATAGTTTTATAAATAAAATTTTCAGTTACAAACATTTTTTGAAATTTTTAAAAAAATTCTTATTTTCATTACATAACTGATCTTTTATTTTGATTTGCTAAATTATTGATATTATATCTGATTTTAAATTTTGATTAAATAAAATTTTGAGTGTTATAAATAAGATGCATAATATAATGTTATAATTAAATTTATCCTAAAAATAAAATAAAAAAAAAATATTTTTATTATTATTGAAATTTTCACAATGCCTCTTCTAATACAAATGAATGCTATACATTTTACAGGTTCATTTTTATCATTATCATCATATAAAATATTATTTTTTAAAATTACAACTTTTACTTATAGTTCTTCTTTGAAATACTTTAAGTATTTTAATAAGAATTGAATATATTTATCAATATCATCTTATAAAATGAAAGATAATATAAATACTTGAACATATTATTAATATAATAAGATTTATAATAAATATGATCACAAGTTAAAATTTTAATCAGCTCTATATTGATTGATAAAAAAATAAAATAGTTAAATACATCACAATAATAAAACAGATCTGATTTATATAATGTATTAAATCATTATCGTTACAAAAAATAACAAATTTACTGATTTTCTGTCTTTTTTTAGAAAACAATTCCAAATGCATATTATAAAAGATGCATGCATAAATCTTTGATAAAATATTGCAAAAGAAAATATGCACTCTTTTTGTTAAAAGTGTAATATCTTAAGCGAAATATTCATAGATGGCTTATATAAATGAGTGTATGATGTTTTTTTTTAAATCTATTATTATTCAGATGGAATTAATTGATAAATATTCATATTTAATAAAATACTGTGTCTCAGTATATTTTTGTGTACTTTAGCATAAAAAGCTATAAAATATTTCAATGATCGAGTCTGAAAACTTTGAAAGTTTAGCTTTGATATCCTTTAAAATAAGATGATCATTTAATTTTCAGTAGAATATATCTAAAAGAAATATCAAAGGTGTTTTAATATAATTTATATGATAGAACTTGAGAAATACTACCTATATATAAAAGTATAATTTTAGATAGGTGTTAAAATAACTGGATTAAAAAATATTGTATAAATGTTTAGAACCAGAAGAATTATATTATCAAGCAAATCTTTCAGTATAAAATATTTAGCATTTTTGCACAGTAATCTAAATTTTGCTTTAACACTTGTTGAAATTTCCTGCTAAGTATTACAAGAAATCTCTAAAAGAAGATTAATATACTATAGCTTAGACTTTTATACAAGAGGACTTTATTCCCAAAATGTACTTATACTTTACCAAAAAAAATGGTCAATATTGAAAAAATATTAACTTTCGACCATTTAATGAAATGTGTAAGAGACCTATAATAGAAAGAAATGATAAAATAGGATTAATAATATTTGATTAGTCACAATATAATTTAAAATAAAATATAGCTATCTGAAGGTATATTTGTTTAGGTTAATCAGCAACAATGGGTATAATATATTCTTTTTAAATATATTATTGTATAGACAGAATATTAATAATAGTATTAAGAGCCTTAATATATATATTTATAGAATGAAGATTATTTTCTTATAAATCAATAAGAATGACATCTTTTATTAAACGAGCATCTCATTTTTTTTTAATCTAGAGTCATAATTATATGCAGTAACTCTTTTAATTTAATACTATTATCAATTTAATGGAATCTCTAACATTAACTATGTGAAAGTCTAAGAAGCATCATGAATCTATTATTTGGATTCAGTTTTATCAACTCTATATTAATTAATCTAATATATGTTCATTTAATCTTAGAATCTTGCTATATATAGTAATTAGACTTATCAAAATTGTTGCTAAGTATGTTGCAGTAGAAGTAGTAGTTGTATTTAATATTTGTTTCATATAAATATTACGATAATTATCAACATTTTATATTATTACTTTCTCTGCATATTTTGTAAGTGTAGAATTAACAATTTTAGTATGCTCATCAAATATAATAACCTTATGCTATATGATTATACTAAATGTTATAATTATACTTAAATCAGCAAGAACAACTATAAAAGTATTAGAAATACCAGTAAAATCTAAGAACATTATCAATTCTCTTTTTGCATTATTAACAAACTTGTTACAAATTTTGTATAGAAAGTAGCATATAGATAGAAGCTATTTTTTTAATTATACTTATAAATTTTCATTCTTTGAAGAAGGGCTAGATAAAAGATATAACTCATCAAAAAATAATTTTAATCTTACATCTTCCCCTTTCATAATCACATGAAATTTATCAAATGAATATATAATTAATTATTTTTCCTCTTTTTACGAATATATAAAATATTAATAATTTTTTTATTACTTTAAAGAAAGATAAAATAAAAGAAAGAGATAGTGGTAACTGAAGTAAAAGAGGTAGAGGTAGAACTAGAGGTAATGGTAAAAATGAAGGTAAAACTGAAGACAGAGAGAAAGATTCCAAAGCATATTATTGGAATGCAAGTGAGTAAGTAGTTTATTACAATTTCATTATAATAGTTTAAGCAAATTATATTATTTATTTGTATATATCTTAATAAAGCATTGTTAGTTTGACCTTTTGTAATAATAAACTCAGTTACATTTTTTATCATACTGATTATTGGATTTAACATATTGTAATAATACATTATTCATTAAGCATACTTATCTTTAAGTAAGATACCTTTAAATATTGTATTCTTTTTAGATTATTTTGTATAGCAAATATTAATGCACTTTTGAAGCTAGAAAAAAAAATTTTTTTTTTTATATATGAAATATTACATTCTCAAAAAGTACTTTAAACTGTATAAATAATATATCTAACAATTAAATATGATCTGCCAATCATGTGAAAATCCTTCTATGAAGCTTAGATTATGATTGATTACCTTGAATTGAGTAAAATAAAAATAGCTTAGCTTAAGCCAATAATAAATCAAACCAAACTGACTTATACAAAGATATAGTTATTAAATTATAAGATTTTAGAAGTTAAACATAAAAAAATTTTATAATTTTTACTCTAAGCTTATCATTATTTTTATAAAAAACTAATTTATAAATATCACAAAAAAATTTTTCTTGCAAGTTAATTAGATAATTGATTCTTTTTCAATTTTTATAATATTAATTTAATTTTGCAGAATAGAATACTAATTATTAATTAATTTATATTAGCTATAATTTTTGAAATTAATTTTTAATCTAATCTTTACAGTTAATTTTAAATTTTATTTAGTATTTGTAATAGTTGACAAAAGGATCTTTATTTATTATTTCAGTATGCATTTGTTTTTTGTGTATTAGGTCTATAATGCATGTATTATAACCACAGTTAACTTTATCATGTGATTACTATATACTACATATAATTCATATAATTTATATTATTCAGTATATCATTCATATCACAATAAACATTATCTACTGAATACTGATCCATATTTTTTTCTCTTCTCTTTCTTTTGCTTTTTAAAAAATATTCTTTCAAATTATAATAGATAACAAAAATTCAATATTTTTTTAAAATAATCAAGATTTTTTTTGTATTATTTTTTTAAAAAAATTCGTTAAAAAATTCAAGTATTAATAAAAATAATTAGTTGCCTTAAGTTTTATATTATTAAACAATAAAAAATGCATATGATACTCTACAAGTATGATAATTTTATATTAGCATTAAATAATATTAATTTATTGCTTTTCAATTTATTTATTGTTAATTTTTATTATTAATATATTAAAATTAATTATACTGCTATTAGATTTTTTCTTGAATTTTTTTACCAGATCCTTTAAATTAATACTTCCTTAGAGATATACATATTTAATCAAAAACTTTAATAAGTTTCTATCTTATCAAACTTCTGAGAATTTTTCAATCCCACAATTTGAACTGGATGTATATGTAGACATTAATGACAAAGAAAAAGCACAAGAATGGTTTCTGACATTCAAATATTATTCAAAATCAATGAAATTATAATCTAAAGATTATAGAGTAAAGAGAAATCAAGTACTTTTTAGAGAAAAATGCTATTGCATCTATAGCAATAGGGTAAAGAAAAAGCAAGGTAGTTATAAAACAAAACTTTCACAATTATTTCAGACATTAAATACAGATTATACTGCAAGAATTCATCTTCGATTAGAGAGATAGAGGCTTAAAATTAGCCATCCATTTAAAATAATTATCTGATTTACGCACAATCATGTGATAAATTTAGTAGAATCACTTAGTTTTTAATATATTAGTAGTGAAGTACATGAAAAAATTTTAAAATATTAAAAAACAGATATTCTCCAGTCTCAGCAAAATATTCATATAAAAATAGCCTCTATTTATCTGCAAAAAATAATCAAAAACTAATAAAACTGTTTGTAGATTGAAGCAATAACCTGAATTATAATTATGTTATTAGACTTTTTTAAGAGTATCTTAAAAATATACTTAGTAGTCCTAATGAAAAGAAAATGTTTAAATGTTTAGCAGAAGTGATTAAAAATTATAACTTATTAGGTAATAATAAGGTAGCATTACAGGAATTCAATGTGAAAATTAGAAAATCTTTTATTCTATGTATTGTAACTGATCTGATATGTCACATATATGAAAAAGTTCTACAATCTAGTAAAATTTGTTACATAGATGCATCCGCATCGTTTAAACCTTTAAATATCTTAATAACACTATTATATATAAGTTATGCTGCTAGTACATTTTCTCTTAGACTTTTTATTACATCAAATGAACTTGAAATCACTTTGAAAAAGGTAATAAGTAATAATTAATAATTAATATTGTTTATTTGCAATTATAAGTTTCTAATAACTAAAATTTATTAGTTGAATTTATTAAAAACAATTCTTTTTTTACATGCTTTTTACAGATGCAGAGCTTAAGTAAAACTAGCAGTTTTTCTCATTAATAATTCTAGTATTAAACAAAATGCATTAGAACTCTGTTGACTGTACAGAATTTGCCTTTTGTATACTTTTCATATTATACAAGCTTTCTGGTAATAGATATACAATTCAAAATATCAGATCAACAAAAAAAATCATGTATTAATTATGAAGAAAATGAAAAAAAATTCTTTATGTACAATTAGATGTAAAAATAAATCTAAATTATGATGAATTCAAGCAGGCCTTTTATAATCAATATCCATTACTACGAAAATATTTTGAATTAATATAGAAGTAGTATTACTTTTAGGCTTTATTCTTTTATTTAATATTATTAATATATGGTAATAATATGAATAATTATGTTAAGCGCAGTTTTGGTATATTAAAAGATATAATATTTTTGAGAACTCAAATATATAATTCAGTTCAAGTGTTTCAATTTGTTACTATAAATATAAAAGGATTCTATAAACAATTATTGCTTAGAATCATACATTAATGTTCTAGTTATATAATAGTAAAAAGATTCTTTTACCTGGGTTGGAAAACAGTAAACAGAAATGCTATTCAACAAACGGCAATTAAGTATGAATATTTAGTTTTAAGCATAAAAGATCCTAGTCTCTTTATATTATTAACAGTGCTATTAGTTCCTGTAGCTGTTCTGTTGAAATGACAGACATATCATATAAGCATCAAGGAGCTATTTTTATGAAATTTTATGTCGCAAGCTTGAATTTTATATCATCATTAATACCAAATGATCAAATGATCTTTACATAGGTTACACTTAGTAAATAGAGTTTGCTGTCCTTAACTTTACTATACTATTATTTGATTAATTTTATTTTTTTTAGATGATATTTCATAGAATAGTTCTTTTTATGCTTTACTATACACAAGTCCCTCTTCATAACATAAAATCAAATTTTGTGAATAAAATCTTCTAATAAAAGATTAAAAAATTGTTCAGTTGCTGAATGAAGGTAAGTATTAAACTCTTAGTAGCATATATCTGATCAAATGTGACTAATAACTTTAAATTATTTTCCTAGAGAATCAGATAAAGAAAACAAAAATATTAATGATTCTACTATTCTTATTTCTTTTCTAAAAGCTGTTAAAAAAGACTATCAAACTGTAAACTGCAGTTTTGTATTGCATTAAACAAATTTGTTGAGAGATATTTCATAATAAAATTAATCTCAATTTTCTGATTATTATCATTTCTTTATAGTATTAACCATAATGTAGATATAACATATGTCAAAAGTGATGCAATGATTCATGTTCAAGTAGAGTCTATAAAGTAATACAAATTAGAAGGATCAAATAATACTAAATGAAAACTTCCTTTTAAGATAAGTAGAGGCAGAGAAAAAGAAAATTCAGATCCTTAAACAATTCCAAGTCAGAAAAAAAGAAACCCAATAAAAAAAATATAACTTAAGCAAAAAATTAGTAGAAACTGGTTGAATTGAATTCATTTATTCATGTATTTTAGAAAATTTTAAAATTGTCTTTTATTAAATAAAATTTTCATTTTTATATTATATTTATTTTTTTTTCGTTCATATTTATATTTTATTATTTATTTAATTTTACGTATATGATATTTTTAAATAATTTGTTCTTAAAATTTTATTGCATTTTTAAATAATTCATTCTTAAAATTTTATTATATTTTTAAATAATTCATTCTTAAATTTCATTTAAATATACCTTTAAAATTTTACTTTAACTTTTATTTTTAAATTATTTGCATAATTCTTCTAGCTAACTTAAGTCTAATTCTGACTAAAATAAAGTTTGTAATGCATGTGATATAAGCTATACCACAGATCTGGTATACAAAAACAAATGCTTTCAGTATTATTAGTTATATTTTTATCTATATTTTTAAAAGAAAATTAAGAATAAATAAAAAAATAATCAAAATAATTATAAATACATTACATTAAAAAGTCACTATATTTTAAAATATAATTTTTTAATATATAATTATAATTTTTTTTATTAATAAATCAATTTGCCTTCTATGAATAAATTAATAAGTTTATTAAAATTTTCTATTTATTAGGTAAAAAATTTATTAAATTATATTATTAAGCTTATCACAAAAAGTAAAATTTATTTTTTACATAATTTTTAAAAAAATAGTTTTTCCATTTTTTTAAAAGAATTTAATGATAAAAAAAAAAAGATAATGAACTTTTCTTTATAATTTTAAATTAATACAGTGTAAAACCTTTATAATAGAAACTTTGCTATAGTAAAAATTGAATAAATTTAAAATGTAAAAAAAAATTTTATTATATATAAACTTGAAAATTTAATCTATAAAATAAATAAACCATATTCTATGCTTTAAAAAACTTGGATTAGAATTTTAATATCCTTAATATTAATAAAGTTATATCAGGTTAAATTTATCTAAAATTAATTATAAAAATTGAAATTGAAAAAATATGTGATCACAAATTTATAAGAATGATTCTTTTATCATTCATAAATTTTAACTTAAATATTATTATAAATTGAATTATATAAAGATTTATTAGAGTACAGTAAAAGAAATATACAAGATTATTGCAATTACATATAAGTTAGATTATAATAAATTTTTCTTAAAGCATTAGATTCTATTCCTTTAATTACAATTCAAAAATATGCACAAAATTTATGACGATTTATAAATATTTATAGAAAAGGTATTACTAGAAAATAGCAGAATTTGTAGCTAAAAATATGAGTTTCATCATTATATATCTGATATAATTTATAATAAAATAATAAAATAAAATAAAATAAATTGTTTTATATAATTTTTAATTCTAATTTTTTTTTTTGCTTATATATATATTATACAATACTTACATAATTTACCAAATTGAAAAAAAAACTTTTTTTTCAATTTTTTTATTTGATTAATATTCAATCAGTAGACTAAATTTTATTAATGTATTTTTAAATTCCTATTATAAAGGTTTCGCACTGTATTAAAATCACACAATAATTTATAAAAATCAGTTTATCAAAATCAACATAATTCTAATAGATTAAAATTTTTTAAACTATATTATTTGCAAAAACAAAAAATTTTTTTTAACAAAAATTCCTATATTTAATATATTAAATATTATAAATATGTCTATAATAATACTTAAGATTTTTAAAATTTGAAAGAGTTCTTTAAAATTTTCTAAACAAAAAAGTTTATTATTCCAAAACTAGAATGAAAATAAATTGCCATTGCAGAGTTTCTCTTTCTTTTTTACATCACCAAAAATTTTTGATTAATTAAAAAACTTATGAATAGATAGAACCTTTTCAACAGAACTTTATAAGAAAATTTTTTAAATGACAACTTTATTAACTTCATGAAATAGAAATATAAGACTATGACAGAAGAAATTATTTCTAATACTATTTTAGCTACAAAAATAGTTCAAGATTTGAATGATATAATTTTTTCTTTACAGTGAAGATTTCTTGGTCATACAAAATAAAAAAATTTGTATCACATCAAAATAAATTGATGTAAAAATAAACTTGTAATCATGTAATATTTTGTCGATCAAATTTTCAATTCAAAAAGGAAAATATTCGTCGGAGGAACGGTCCATGACGCAAGAATTACCTTCTTGATCCACCTCGTGTAACGAAATATAGTACCTAAATTAGATGAATGACTTCATCGAAAAACCATAAACATTTTTTTTTTTCTAGAATTTTTATTCATTTTTAACCTAAATATGAAATGATTACGAATCTAGTTCTTTAAATTAAATAAATAAATATATTTTTTTTATTAAAATAAAAATATAATATTTATTCTTGACCTATTTAAAGAAATGGGATGTTTGCTGTTACAAATTAGTAAATCGTATGATTTGTAACGTGATTTTAATAGCAAACCTCCCAAATGCGTATCTATCTATTTGAATTTGATTTATTAACAATAATGAAGAATTTTTTCTCTATAAATTGCATAATAATTCACTTTCTTCAAAATTTAATAATTTATAAAATGATTTTCACAACAAAAATCAATATTTTGCTTCTCTTAATTTTAGTAATACATTTGATTTCACTCAAAAGGTAAGAACGAATCGAAAGAATCATTATCTTCAAGTATTATAAATATTAAATATTTTAATTTCATATATAGTATGCCTATGGTAATTAAAGGGTAAGTTATTATTTCCAAAGATAAATTTTATAATCATGATTATCTAAATTCATTTAATTGTTATATAGAAAAAGTAAACCCAAAACTGAATCGAAGCCTAAAGAGCTGCAAAAAAAAGCTGTAAGTTTATTTCGCGAAGAACATTAATTGACCCGAAATTTTAAGGTTACTAATAAAAATTTTAATTATTATATAGTACACCAACAATACTAATTATACGGAACCTGAAAATGTAAGTTTATTTCGCGAAGAACATTAATTGACCTGAAATTTTAAGGTTACTAATAAAAATTTTAATTATTATATAGTACACCAACAGTTACTAATTATACGGAAACTGAAATTGTTAGTCTATTATTTTCAAATATTTAATTATAAAATTAATTGCTAAAAAATAAATGAAACTTTTCTTAGATGCCAGAAAGGCCAGACCCGTTTGATGATTTTCCGTTTGTATCTAATAGTTAATTATTCATGATAAAGGATCTGGTAATATAAGCTTTCTATAGTTTATACAAAATTGAAGTTTTCTATCTTTATTTTATACTATTATGATAGGAAAAGTTCAGAGACTTACATAAGTTGTAAATAAATTACTCTAAATATATTTGCTTTTGTTAGCTTTTTATCACCCTCTTTATTCTATCTCCGATATTTTGCTGCTTTTGATTTTGTTTGTATTGATTATATTGATAAATAACCTTTATTAGGTTAATCAGAACTAATTTCGATTAAATGTCAAAACTACACTGTAGAAAAAGCGAATATAATTTTATATACAATCTTTCTTATTCACCGATAGCTGTTCTTTATGATTAATTTTCGTCAAGTTGAGCTAAAATAAAATTGACTTGGCTTGATCAATCAAGTTTCTACCTTGATTTCTTTCGTCTTTTTTTTTTTTTTTTTTGATATATTTAATTTTCTATGCAAAAGTTGTAACCTGGACATATAATTTTCCTTTAAGTACAGTTTATGTTGGAATTCATATATGTGTAAATTTTATTGATATACAGTAAGTTCTTATATAGAATTATTGGAATTAAAATTCAATATCTAGTTCGCAGCGCTTTTTAATTATATATATATATATCAAATAAACTGATTACCGATTCCACTCTTTTAATTATCGACATAAATTTGTCAGCCGTCTTTCTTCAAAATCATTCATCATTAAAAATTTTTCGCTACACAAAAAGCGTGTATTTATTTTGTGATATTAATCATTCATAGTGATACGGGATCGACTTGAAAGTGCCGAATAAATGATAATCCGGAATTCCGTGATTACGTAACAGTTTCTTTTTTTAAATTTTTTTTTTTAAAAAAATGATTTTTTATATAAACGCGTGTCTTAAATGGGAAAATGCTAATTTTAATAATGAAGTTTGATATTTCGATTTATTTTCATACATAAATTAATATTATTTTCACAATTTAATAACTTGTAAATATTTTAATCCTATTTCAAACCAAGATGTGAGTCAATATTTTAAATTCTTGGCGAGGTCATCAAAGTGTTTGCTATAAATATACTATGAACAAATTAACTAAAAAGAAAAAAATAAAAGAAATGTATTCATTTAATATTCAAAGTTTTTTTCATTTATAGCTGCTATGGATCTGCAATGTTCTCTTCCTTGATATAAATATTCCCTAGAATAGAAGAGTTAGGGTTTTCGTCGAAAGAATGGTTTGGGCTATAGGAAATTAATTAAATTCAAGCGTTCATTGATTATTTAATTATCCTGCGCCACAATCAAGCGCAATCAATAATTTTATTTCCTAAAGTCAAGGTAAAACCGATATAACTTTTTTTATAATGACGTCTGCTGCAACTCACGATTCTGTAAATCGATTCTTTAAAATTCACCACAATTTAAGATATTAATTAGTTAAAGGTTTTAAAGTGAAAGAGCCTGGTTAGTATGTTAATAAATGAGTTTTACCCCGAATTTAAATTCGTGATTGCAATCTATATTGAAAGGTTATCAAAAACACCAAAGTAAAAATTTATTATGTAAAATGAGAAGTATTTAGGAAGTATTTGGCTATTAGCATTAATTTTTTACGAAACTATAATGAAAGTTTAGTTTTTTTTAGAATTAGAAAAAAAAAAATTTTTTTTTTTTACAATGTATTTTTTTAAACAATTTTTAGGCAATGTATAATCGTACATTATGTGATGTGGAACATGACAAATATATTTAGCACCAAACCAACACTAAAAATATATATCACATGATCCATGTTTCATATACCTCGTGTTTACTAAGAAGTTTTCTTTTTTATATCCATTATTTCAAAATTGTATGAGGAAAATGACGGATATGTTGTATCGCCTTCAACATTGTCAAGATAGCAATGGGATTTATGATCCTGAGGGATTTTTTATGTCATTGCTTCTAACGCATGAGCTACGCAAATTTATTGATAAACAACAAATCTAGATGGAATAGCGAAAAACAAATACTTCTAGTAAAAATCGGGTTGTAGTTCTTTGTTTTTAGCTTGCTTTTTTTCATAAGAAACAAGTAAAATTTTTCAGCAGAAAACGGCACTGATATTTATACTGTTTTTTAAATTGCCAATGATCGTCATGTGATTACTAAATTAGGAATGTTCCCTATCCCTATATAGAAGACGCTCAACAAAGGATTAATGTAATGACAATAAACCAACACTGTACATCTCTGACGAATTAAGAAAGATGGCCAGCTTGAAAGTTAAAGTGAGTGAGAAGATTTAGTAAATAGATTTATGAAAAGTTGATTACGAAGATTTAGTAAATAAGTTTAATGATGAAATTAAAATCCTTTTAGATCCAGATAAAAATGATGTAAAAGATGACACGGTAGTTGTTATTAACAATAATGAAAAATAAATTATACGAAAAACGATGATTATTTATTCGTCTAATCTTAAATTCTCTTTAAAATTACCATAAATAATTAAATCAAACATCTGATTGAATAAATTCTTTAGGAATTTTCCTATTTCTCTATTTCTAATAGAAACGAAATTTGGAAATTTATTTAGTTTGAAAATTAAATGTGTAGAACTCAAGGAATCTCTAATCAAAGGTTAAGCTCATTTGCTCTATGGAATAATTATTGGTATATTGATATGTTGAAAACATTATTGTTAAAGGATATCTTAAATAATTCATCAAAAATTTTGGGGTCCTAAACGTCCAATAAAATTGCCAATCTAGAGATTATTATTATTATTTTTATTACGGGCTTGGTATTTTACTTTCTTATGATAATGCTTTAATGAAACACGAATTAAAGTAACTAAATAATTGAAATTATGTAAGGATCAGGCTTCTTCTGAACCAAAGCTCATTGATGTCACTTTGTTGATTTTCCAATCATTATTATTAAACTGGACTGGTTTATTGTCGTGATAATGTTTAATTTTAAAAATAGATTGTTCTTTTACTCAAAGTAATACGCAAATGTCGTACAAATATCTAATTCTACAAGAATCGATGAATGAAGTTCTATTTAATTTTTTATTTTTTTTAGTTAGGCCTTTCCATATTTTTATTTAATGAAAAAAAAAATTTGAAATGAAGATAATTTCCGAAATAAAAGGAAAAATCGTTCTAAATTTGGGTGTTAACGTTGAGTAGTTGCAAATTAATAAACTAAAAACGATTTTTGAAACATAAATTGGCCACAATTAATGATTATTATAAAAAAAAAAAATCAACATTATTTATCATCATAATCATACTGTTAATAGAATTTTCTCTTTCGGCTTCTTTTTTTTCACCTTTTTTGTAAGTTTCTTATCATTCTTTTTTATGTCCTTTTTAATACTTTCCTGCTTTACATCCTTGTTATTCATTGCAAAATAATATTCCACCACATCAGAAGCAAATTTCTTCATTTCTTCATTCATACCGCTAAGCAACATTCCTGAACAATAAGCTTCCATCCTTTCACCCAAACAACCAGCAACAGCAATGTTCTCTTTAGAGATCATTTTATCTAATTCACAAACTTTTGCTACCTCACCCAAAAATTTTCTTGTGATTAAATGATTATAGATATTTAAAAACATGGTTCGATTTGCGTCGGGAATTTTTAAATTTAATGCTATGGTTGTATAATAATTATATGCTCTGTCCCCATACAAACGATAAAATCTATAACTCTTATTGTATTGATGGTCGCCCTTCCTTGTTCCTAGCGAAAGAACCGAATCACGATGTTCTTTATTTTTGATTTCTGGGAGTGTTATTTTTTGCTTGGGGGATGAAGTTGATGAGAGAGGTTTTGATTCGTGCGAACGAAAACCAATAGGGTACAGAAATCTGGTAGACGAAAGATTCTTGAGAGTGGGTTGAAATCGGAACATGTTTTTTTAGTTAAACTTTTTGTTATGATTTTTTAATGGCTTTTATAAAGAAAATTACCCTTACATTGAATTGTGTAATGTGATAAGATGCATGCATAAAGTATATCCTTTGACAAAGTCCGATGCAAATAATAGTGATGATGATTAAACATTTATAAAATTTATAATATTATTTATTATTCTTGGTCATCCAAAGTATTTACTTAAAACATCATCATTCCCAAAACTATAATTACAGAAAAACTCATTCGTGAGGTGATTGGTCAACTCTGGTCGGTAAAGCTTGGAATACATTTAATGTATTTTATGTTTTATAAATTAACTAACAAATTGTTTTTCATGTTTCAATACTACATGCTGATCATATTATTTACATTCTCAGGGTGATATTTCTGGCTATATCACATTACACATGTAATTATTATTATACTATATCAAGGAACAATTATAAAACGTTATACCCGAGTTCGTAACACGAAATTAAAACAAACTTCAAAACATGTTTATTGATATTACTAAAAAGGTCAAGAGGTTATTATCGCACTTTTTGAAACAACTAAAAATATCGATCAAGAGATAGGCGTGACGGAGTACATTTTATTAGGACTCCGTTATCGGCGATTTGTTTTTCCTTTTGGCCTTTCAAAAAAAAAGGGGTGATTACTCTCCTTTATCATTAATCATCATTTCTTTTTGCATCTCATTATCATTATCGTCAACTTGAATTTTTCCTTCTTGAGCGACCTCATTCTCGAAATAATAATCAACAACATCAGCGATAAACCTTTTCATTTCATCTTCCATGCCGTTTAATATGTACAGGGCAAACTGTGCCTCAACATTTTCGCTCAAGATTCCGTCAGACATGGGATAATTTTTAGCCAACTTGATTGATTTGTCTAGACCACATTCAGTGGCTATTTTCGCAAGAAAGCTTCTTGAAATAAGTTGATGAGTTCGTATTGTGAGTTCCGCATTACTCGCATTAGGCAATTTATTATATAACTCCCTTGCTATGAAATAATTGTAAACTTTATCCCCGTAAAAACAATATCTTTTGTATGAATGATGATTGTTTTGTGGCGTTGATGGATGTGTTA